CATACCTGTTGGATCATCTTGGAGACCATGAAAGCACTCTGCTGATCAAAGACTTTCGACAGGATCTCCAAACCAGACAGAACCTTGTCCACCTCCCTGTTTGGTGAAACAGAGAGAGAGATCCACAACTTCATAGTCTAAAAGCTTATATATTAGATCTATCTATAGGGAAACAGATATTTGCTACATTTATTGAGTTATATTTGTAACATTTTTTATTTTTTTTCCTGTGGTTTATCATAGTGTTTGAATGTGCAACATGCACCATTGAGACCAAAACAAGAGATAAGTTGACGAGAAGCTGGCCACGCTGTGGGCTGTAAATCCTTACACAGTCTGTCAGTGACGAGCACATAGGTCACTGTATATAAAAGAACAGCTTTGTATAGAATATACACAGACAAGAGAGTATGTGTGTCTGTGGGATATGTGCGTCTACAGATGAGCTGCTGTGTCCTTCTTACCCATTAAGGCGTTTGCAGGAGGCCACAAGTGTCTTGTTGAGGTGAGGCAGGGAACAGGCTCCCTGTTTGACTGCCTCAAGGTCCAGAGCATAGCTGCCCTTCAGATACTCGTGGGAGATGGTGCTCAGGCCATTAGCTGCTGGAGCACTAAAACAGATTCAAATCAAATCTAGTGAGTATTTATAAATATGTACATGCATATAAGTCCACAACCTAAGTATACAGGTTTTAGTGCAAGCAAAGTATGAATTTAAAAAAAGCATTATTGTTTTTAGATGTTGGGTTCTGAACTGTTAGTGGCATATTCACACTGTTATAATGCTGCATTCCTTAACTAGCACTCAGTTGTTTTGTTTGGTATAGCGTGTGCTATATTCTTAGCTATTTGTCACACAGGTTTTTAAAGTTTTCCGCTTTGATATGAGATTTGCAGATAAATAACACCCCTTGTACCAGAGACGTGTTACAGATCTTATAGTGGCCATATCTACGTGCAAGTCTGTGCAGTCAGGATTTTTTAGAATCACACACTTCCTCTTAAAAAAAAAAAAAAAGAGTGCTGACTTATGTCTACCCTGCTGCATTCAGTCACCCAGACACACAAAAACACACTTACTTAACCAAGTGAGCCAGCAGGATGCCCCTAGCCTCCTACACACTGGCCAACTTGCAAAGAATTTGTATTATAGGGTTTGTGGTTGTTTGACATGACACCATTATTTCTGACCCGAACATTAAAATGTTCTAGTCAAGAAAGGAAAGTAGCTTCCTTCCTTTTACAGAAATAGTCCTGTGATGTTCTTTCCTCAGAAGAAAGACTGTGGACAGTTTTTTTCTGACAGCCCACGCACCACTTAATATGGTCAAACAAAACACTCCTTTTGGTGTAAACGGCGCATCTAAAATGTCAACTTTTGAATTCGCAACTCTCTCTGTAAATGAAAAGTTGATGCCTTGTTCCTTTACTGTCTCTGATCTTTAATGTATTTTGCATTGCTGATTTTATGCTTCTTTCCATTACAACTGGAGAAACTAGGATAGGGATAAGGTTACTGCAAAACCTTAATTTTTGTTACTTCTTTGGGGAAATTCTAACATCTTATAAAACATGAGTAACTTTTACCTGAGAATGATGAATGCAGCCACCTAACTCACAAAGGCTTTGACCTTTGCTCATATAAACGCACACTAAAACTAAAGCCCCCTCTTCATCAAAGCTTTGCATCATCTGTAACCAACGCGGTTTTCAACAGGATGTGGCTTTCCTTCATTATGAAGGCAGCGGGGGGGGGCACACAAGGAGAGAGTGGAGGATATTAATATATGTATGCCTGTGTCTAATAATGAAAGTGTGAGTGTATGTTTTGTCATTAACAATGTTTAAAGCATAATGTGTGTGTGTTTGAGCATGTCATCGGACAGAAACATTGAGAGGGACTGTGTGTGTGTGTGTGTGTGTGTATGTTGATTACATATAACCAATGCTACCTCTGCTTACTATTTTTGTGATAAGAGCCAACTCGTGTCATAATTGCATTCACAGTGAAACAACATCCTTCCTGTGTGTGTGTTTGAGTGTGTTTTCAGAATCATCATGGTTAACAAGTTGGTTAAGAGGTTCTACAGGTAGTTTGTGATTTCATTTTCAGTGCTCACATATTACATATTATTATTATGAACTGGACACAATCAAAATGAGTCCTCATATAGACTTTGTACCTGTCTGTGGGTGTGTCCGGTCCAGGGGGAGTGGATGTGGAGGCAGAGCGAGGGGGGAGGGGTGGCTTCTCATCCTCCCCATCTACCAATCACCGAAAAGGAGAGTTAACATGTGACAGGAGGGACTCACTGGGTATGCAAATGTGCTTATATGGGCTCTAGAGATACCTGAATAGTCCCGGTCATCGCTGACAGCTGTTTCCTCTCGGTCAACGGCATAAAGCAGGGTGGTGACCAGACCCTGGCTGGGCTGCAGGTACAACGACACCAACTCTGGTAACGTCTTAAACCGCTTAGGCTGCACGCCCTGAGATGTCTGAGAGAAAGGGGGAGGAGGACAATCAGGGAGGGAAGAGACAGAGGAAAAGAAGGAAGGTTTTTTTCTATGTGGTACGAACATAACAATTCCTTGGCTACAAGCAGTCATGTTACAGAAATCTCTGGTGGCCCCTATTGTTCCACATTTAATGTTGTGTAAGCAAATATGACCCCGTAGTCTAAATATAAATCTAACCAGGAAGAGCTGTTTTGGTAAACACCGCTTTCAAACATATTCAGTTCCAGCAAGCAAAAATAGACTTTTAGACTCTCTTCAACTTCATAGCTAAGACCCCAAAAATCATACAGCAGGGGCACAGATGTCTGTGACCACACGATAGTCGGGAAGCACCATGTCGTATATGTGTGCATGTGCGTGTGTGTGAGACGAGCGTGTGTGTGCGTGTGGTGGGGACTTCACAGCTGTTGGGCACAACACACAAAGAGGCTGCTGTGTGCGTGTGTGTGTGTGTGTGTTTGTGTGAGAGAGAGAGAGCTCAGAGCCAACAAAAGCATCTATGCCTGCCAGCTGCTACTGAAGCAAATACAGTTTTTGCTGCACACATGCACACACACTTAACTTCTGCAGAGTGTGAGTGTGTCTCTGTGTCTCCTCAGTACCTGTACAGCCAGAAAACCTTCTTCATCTGGGAGGATCCTGTAGGTGTGGACATGCTTCTGAAACCTGTACAGAATGAAAGAAATGAAGACAGAGAGGTGTGAAGAGAGAGAGGAGAGAAAAAGAATAAGACCGAAGAGAAAGAGAGAAAATGGAGTGAAAAACAGAGGGCGGGAGAAGTGAGAGAAGAAGAGACAACTTTTAAAACTACTGTTTTTATATATCATGTCTGACACATACACTCTTGTATTTGACCCCGATGGATAGGGGGGTGTGTGCATGCATGAGAGTGAGGGGCTTTAGACGCTGGAGAGAGCGTCAAGCTGTTGCTGTCTGTCACAGTTGTGAGCGGGCTTTATCCTTACAGTTGCATGATACAGTAGAGCACAACAGAGTTGAACCTGGTGTTTATACAACGTAAAGTTACAGTGATAGAATAAAGAAACACAATGACAACACCATCATAGGTGAGACAAGGTAACGATTAAAAGAAGATGATGTAATCCTTTCTTCTCTCCACTTCAGTGTATTTAAAACTTTATAGTCTGAATTGCATTTCTGATCGAACCACAAGCTTTTTTTTTTGTTTTTTTCTCAACCAATCGTAAATCAATGGTGTGACATTGTGATTGCACAGCCGTGACTACACGCCTACAGCCACAAGCTGTAGTTGAATGATTTTCATGTCTGCACTTCATGTCTGCTCAGTGGACCGGACACAAAATGTTCAATTTGCCAAGCAAATGCTGCGGTTTACATCTGTTGGTGTGTATACTGTATATATGTGTGATGGTGGTGCGTCGGTTCAGATGTGTGGGTGTTCGCTTGGCAGCCTATGCAAAACACTTAATTAATGCTTTTACTTCTGTTAAGACTGTGCTTACTTACAGTATGTGTGTATGTATACGTGTGTGTATACACTGTATAAACTGAGGGAGGGATACATCCTTGTTGGGTATTTACCCACTCTGTCCACTCAGCTGTTTGTCCGGTCTTTCCAGGTCAGTGTCCCACAGCAACTAAAACATGAGCTGGATTAAAATATAACTAACTGCAAGAAGATTATTTATTTTTGTCCCAAATAACACACACACACAAACACACACACAACTTAATTCAGTAGGGCTTGAGCAAAAGGGTCACATTTAATTTAACTTTTTAAATGGGTGAGGTTACTCATTACCCCTCTCAGAACAGCACATGGAATAAACCTGCATTTGTTGTCTGTCTGAATGGGTCAACACAGGTCATCAAACATGGCTTCACGAACTTGATCCTGACCAGGGCTCAACTTGGGTCCGTCTGACGCCACTTGTCAGACGATTAGCTGAATTCTGAATATCAAAAGAAGTACATTTACAACTGTTTCCAGTGCATCTGGAAATGAATAATGATGTGTTTTAAGTTTGCTTTAACCTCGGACTATTTCCTTACTGAAGGCAACTATGTTCACAGGCTGATTATTATCACCAATTCCTGCTTTAGTGGTTCTGGTAGCGAAACCTAAATAATTTTTGGGTATTCTTGCCTTTATCTGACAGCACACAGAAGAAAGGGGAAGACGCGCAACAAAGATCCTTGCACGGTATCCACAGAGTCAGGACAGAGAGCAGAAGTTCCCATTTTGTATTTGATTTATATACGGCACATCTATCAGATTCTTGCCAATAGCTCCATATATCATCCAGCAGTTGGTTACACTAACAGTATAAACTTGATAAATATTTGCTCCTGCCTTTCAAAGTCCAGCAGTAAACACAGTGAGTGAGATGAACTCTTCCTTTTGTCTGCCTGGCCTCTGAAGCCATATACACATTAAATTCTGTCACATTATAAACACAATGTAATCTAGTAGGTCCAGCGGGAGAAAATCCATATACAAGAGTCACTGCAGTGTACAGTTATGTGTGTGTGTGTGTGT